CTTCTCCTCTGCATGCCCCCTTGCCCTCTCCTCCTGAGTCCTCTCTTCCTGCGCTTGCCGACCCTGAGTCGGACTCTCTTTGTGCTGCCAGTCCTACTGTCACGCGTCTCCTTGCTACTGTCGTCACTGACCCCTCCTTTGAGTCCACTGCTGCGTCTGCTCTTGTTGCTGAGCTCGTCGACTTTGCTGCTCGCTATCGTCTAGACTACGCTGCTAGTCTTGTTGCTGAGTCTGCGTCTGTCTGTCCTCCGTCCGTCGGGGGTGAGTGTGCTCTTGGCACGGACGTCCTTGAGGACAGGCAGGAGGAGTTCCAGTGTCTGGCTGCTGCTTCACCTCATCTCGCGTCCGTACTGCTTACCCCTGAGGGAGACCCGGATGCACTAGACATCCCGGCTCCGCGCTCTTACGCGGAGGCCGTAGAGGGTCCCTACTCCTCTCAGTGGCAGGCAGCTATGGATGCAGAGATGGCTTCCTGGAAGTCCACAGGCACCTACGTTGACGCGGTTCCCCCTCCTGGGGCGAACATCGTCAGTGGCATGTGGATCTTCAGGGTGAAGCGGCCGCCGGGCTCTCCACCTGTCTTCAAGGCGCGGTACGTGGCTCGTGGCTTCAGTCAGCGGCAGGGAGTTGACTACTTTCAGACCTTCTCTCCCACCCCGGAGATGACCACTCTTCGGGTGCTGCTACACATAGCCGCTCAGCGTGACTACGAGCTTCACTCCCTTGACTTCAGCACTGCTTTCCTGCAGGGTAGCCTGCACGAGGAGATCTGGTTGCGCCGTCCACCTGGCTTCACTCGGACTTTCCCTCCTGGCACCCAGTGGAGTCTCCGACGGCCAGTCTACGGTCTCCGCCAGGCACCGCGCGAGTGGCACGACACACTGAGGACTACACTTGCGGCTCTTGGGTTTGCTCTCTCTACTGCTGACCCGTCGCTGTTTCTACGCACCGACACCTCTCTGCCGCCGTTCTACATCCTCGTGTACGTCGACGACTTGGTCTTTGCCACAGCTGACACTGCTGGACTCGCCCACGTGAAGTCCGAACTGCAGAAGAGACACACGTGCACAGACCTAGGTGAACTGCGCAGCTACCTTGGCTTGCAGATCACCCGGGACAGAGCACGCCGCACCATTACCCTGACTTAGTCACACATGGTGCAGCAGGTCCTTCAGCGCTTCGGCTTCACGTACTCCTCGCCTCAGGCCACTCCTCTGTCTACTCGCCACTCGCTCTCAGCTCTGCCTTCGGATGAGTCCGTAGAGTCGAGTGGCCCGTACCCAGAGCTTGTTGGCTGCCTCATGTACCTGATGACCTGCACACGACCTGACCTTGCATACCCTCTTAGCATTCTTGCACGCTATGTTGCTCCTGGGAGACACCGACCAGAGCACATGGCTGCAGCGAAGAGGGTGTTGCGCTACTTGTGCAGTACGTCAGGCATGGGGCTAGTGCTTGGAGGGCGGAGTCCAGTGGTCCTCACTGGGCACGCGGACACTTCTTGGGCTGACGACCAGGCTACGCAGCGGTCGTCACAGGGTTACACCTTCAGCCTTGGTTCCGGCTCTGTTTCGTGGCGGGCTACTCGCTCGTCTTCTGTTCTCGGCTGCAGTTGTGAGGCTGAGATCTACGCCGGGGCCATGGCTGCACAGGAGCTTCGCTGGCTTACCTACCTGCTGACTGACCTCGGAGAGCCGCCTCGTTCTCCTCCGGTGCTGTACGTAGACAACAAGGCCATGCTAGCCTTGTGTCGGGAGCAGCGCCTGGAGCACAGAACGAAGCACATTGCTCTCCGCTACTTTCTTCCTCGTGAGTTGCAGCAGCGTGGTCAGTTGCGACTTGCGTACGTGGCCTCTGAGGCCAACACTGCTGATGTTTTCACCAAGGCACTTCCGCCTTGTGATCATCAGCGCTTCTGCACTCAGCTGGGTCTTGTGCCTGTCTTGCCTCACTTGCTCACCCCTTGACCTTACTTGTACTCTTACATATATATATATACCTGCTCTTGCTTGTTTAGCCTTATATATATATGTGTACTCCTGCATGTGAACTGGCCTTGTGGCCTTGACCTTGTGCTCGGACTGTGTGGTGACGTTGTGATCCACCCTTAGCTTTGTCTGCTTTGCTTGACTGGTCTTGTGACCCCTTGTTCTCCCCCACTTTGCCTATGGGGGTGTGTCAAATTATAATATTGTGTAGGCTATAGTGGGGTAGCCCATATGGGGTACACATTTTCTAGGGTTGCATATTTGTATCACTTCCATTCCTTAGTTCTTCATTCTCGTTCTAAGTTTCTCACTATAGCCTATAGTAGCTATGTCATATATATCTGACAGAATTGCCTTCTACCGAATTCGGTAAGGATCTGTTCGGGACGCTACGCGGCCCGCGGAACCTTCGCGTAACACTTGGTTACGGGGCCTTGTGTCGAGCCTATATATAGCATCGTGTTGTACCCAGGTGATTCATTGAATTCATTCAATTATAATTCTCTTTTGTGAGCTCGATCCTAGATCCTCACAGAGGAATCAACAAAGAGTCTTTATTTATTGCACGTAATTTTGTTACTAGTGGCATGTACCGGCTCGCATTTTCGCTCGCGTGTCGTTTAGCGAGCCGACTCTACCGGGAACTCTAGGGCAGCAAAAAAAAACTAGAACTCATTGGGAACCTGGATGCAATTTCGGGATGGATAAACCCTGAATAATGGACCTTCCTGGTATTTAGGGTTGATCCCCCCCCCCGAGTCGCATCCGTTTCCGAATGGGTAATATTTTATTTTTTCTGTGGTTTCCGATTGGGTAGGTGGTATGCATCACCCAGAATATATTATGTTGTTACGTAATCACGATTTGACACGCCGAATTCAATTCCAAAAGAAGGCGACGCGCGCGCTGTAGTAGTCGGCGGTCAAAACCCTCAATAAATAATAAGAACTCAAAATTAGGTTTCTTTTAGCAATTATCTTTTACTTATGGTTCGGCTTGTTTGCCGAGTCGTTTGGTCAGCTCCGGGCTGAAATCCTACGGTCGAGATTTTCCGGCCCTACTTTGATCACCCTTCTGGCACTGTTCGGCCCCAATATGATATTCTCCCAGTAGAAAGAGGCACTTCCTGAAGATCCCAGCGGAATCAGGTCGACGGACCCGAGTTGCCAGGGTCGACGAGGGGGGTCGACGGACAGGGGTCTGACGAGGCGGGCGAGTGACGCGCGTGCGGGCCCGCCAGCCTGGCCCTGGGCTGGGCCGGGCGCACGACCGCCGCCCCGCAACCCCCCCCCCCCCCCCCCGAGAGTGAACAGTGACCCACGTTACCGGGTGGGGGCGGCGAGCTGGCGAGACCTCGGGCGAGGGAAAGTAACCCTGCCGCGAAGGCAGCCCACCCCTCCCTCGTGCCCGCGAGGTCCTAGTAACCCATCGCGGCCTGCCCGTACGGGCAGGCGAGGTCCACGCGAAAATCGGGGGCTCCCCTCGGGTCGCTCGACTATTTCGCGACCCGTTGCGGTGACGCCACGTGCTCGCCCGTCATTTCGCATCGCATGCATGAGACATTTCGTACCCCCCGAAACTCGAGCGAAAACTGAGTCGTTCGCCACGGGGCGCACGACTTTCGCGACCCTCGGCGAAATCGACACGTGGTGCCGAAACGTCGCACCGCGCCCACGCGAAGTTGCGTCCCCTGGCCGACCGAGGCCGGGGGACGTGACGTCGACCTGTTGGCTTGGCGGCGAGGGTGCACTTGTGCCACGCAACTTGTGCACGAGCCCTGCCGAGCCAGGCATCACGGCCCCCTGGGCGACGCTCAACCGGGCCTGCGTGGCTCCGCCTGGCTTTTCTTCGTTGGAGGTGGACTGGCCCCTCATTTTCGCGTTCTCGTTTCTCTTTCATTTTTCCTCCCACCTCGGCGCCTTCCATACTCCCACCGTTTCTTCCCTTAGCATCCTCGCTCTCCCGCCATGGCAGCCGGCCAGAAAGCCGCCGAAGCGGCGCCGACCTCGCTAGATTTCCCCCTGCATCTAGACATCGGTAGAGGACACACGGCCAAGTTCGAAGAGCACGACTACGCCGTTCTGACAAACCCTATGCTAGAGTTTAACGCCCGTTGCTTGGGACTCGGTCTCAAGTGAGTGTCTTATGGAGATGTCGTCGTCGACGGGCCTATTCCATGCTGGTCGGCCATGGCGGGGTTTCAATGCGTCCAGTAGTATATGTCGACGGGCTTAGAGTTCAAGCACATCACATCGGTGATGCCGACGTAATGCGTTAGGTCGTCGACGACGCTGAGTTGTGCCGAAGTCGTTCGGCTCCCGTCATTCCACCGTCGTGTCGCGCACCTATACCTCTCTAATTTGTTGTAATCATGCATGCGTGCAGGCACGCATGGATCCGCTCAACGGATGCAGGCGAGCGATTGTGGTCGATAGGAGTCGGCCGGCTTCGGGCTGCGATGGGTCAGGACGACCACACATGCTTTGCGACGATTTTCGACGCCGACGTGGCGGTTATCCCACTGATATCGAGGTGAGCAGGTTCGAGGTCCTGCTGTGTGCTGCAACCTGTGTCGGTGATTTGTTCTGAGCGCCATCGACGTGCCTTGTCTGTGCAGCATCGCACCGCTTCCGGGAGCACATTGCAGCGTCGTTCTCATCCAGTGCCCCGGCGATTTGTTCAATGCCTCGGGGCAGGAGGTCAGGACCTCGATCCGGCACGCCGACCCGCAGACAGTGAAGGAGTGGCACCGCGACGAGGCGATCCGCGTGCTGAAGTGAGCTCGATAGTTTAGTCGACATCGCATACATTGTCGACACGGCGCGTGCACCGTGCTAACCGACCGTCCTTGCCGTGCTTTTGCAGGTTTTTCCGGACCGCTGTTCTGGCCGAGCTGCGGCGCGAGGGTAGGAAATGGGAGTGGGCGAAGCCGTCCGAAGACGAGGTGCAGGAGAGGCTCGCCGACTGCGACGAACCCCTTCGAGATGTGAGTTCCGGACGATTCGCCGTCATATGGTGTCACATCTACGCCGCCCTCATCCTTGCTCTCTGCACTGTTGTATGCAGAAAATTCCCGATACCGTCCGGGACTCGGACGCGGGCTCCGGCCTGCTAGCAATGAGCGCGTTGATCTGGGTTGTGAGGCGGTTCCAGCGCCTGACCGGCGACCTCCGTCGCATTGCCACCAGCATGGACAAGCCCACCGTCTCGGGGTTGAAGGCGCTGCGGAACGAGATGGTAGCCCTCATCAAGAAGCAAGTCCCGCTCATACGGTCGGGGAAAACCGTTGTTGCTGCCGACGCCTGTGACGACGACGGCGAGGAAGTCCATTCTGCATCCGTACCAGTAGGGGTCGCCCCGAACGTCGCTGATGCGCGTGGCAAGTCGGGAGTCGGCGTCGACGAGGCCGATGCGGCCGCAGGAAAGGGGGTGACCGGGACTGAGGTTGTTCACGGGAATGATGATGGGGTCCAGGATCGCGAGGAGGAACGTGAGGGTGAGGGGGGCTCGGAGGAGTCGTCGGGGTCGGGGTCGCGATCGGGGTCGGGCTCGGAGTCGGAGGAGGAGCAGGAGCAGGAGACGCAGGAGCACGAGAGGCAGCACCAGGAGGAGCAGTTGGTAGAGGTGGAGGACGTGGAAATGGCGGAGGGGTACGTTGTCGGAGGAGCGGAGGAAACGGGTGGGAGATCGGCGGATGTCGAGAACGACGAAGGGGAGGGGAAGGGTGCGACAGCGAATATCGGCGAGGTCGGCGTGGAGGCGGCTCACGGAGGTGGTGGCATGGTCGAGGTCGGTGAAGGGGATAACGCCGCGGTCCCGGAGCAGAGGGGCGTGGATGTGCATACCGATGCCACCGCGGAGAAGGCCGGCGGGGAGCGGTCTAGGAGGAAGAAGGCGGCGAGCGGTCATCCCGGTTCCACCGCGGCTGGGCGGCAGGCGCGGCTGGACGTCGTCGATCAGCTGAGGGCGGAGAACAGGCGATTGCGTGCAGACAATGCACTCCTTGAACGGCGGCTCGGTGAGCAGACGGGGCGGGTCGACAGCTTGGCGGCGGCATTAGCTGGGCTCCTCGAGAAGGTGAAGGGTTTGACCGCCCAGGTCGCCGACACCGACCGGAAATCGGAGGAGCGCCTCAAAGAGGCCACGTCGACCATGGCGACCACAATCACCGAGGGCCTCACCGACAACATGGACAGCGCCATTCAATCGGCCAAGTCCTTCGTCGAGCTAGCAAGGCAGACGCTGCTGGATCTTGACGACCCCAAGGGACGAGCGGCGGTCGCACGCGCGACCGCGGTGAAGACAGTGACCGAGCACGTGACGGCGGAGGTGGGCGAGGCGAGGAAGGGGTTGGAGGAGTCGTTCATCAAATACATCGGCGCCGCGCAGACCAACATTGCCGCCGCCGTCTCGCCCCGCCTAGTCCAGCCGCCGCCGCCTACCGGCCCAGCGCAGGCCTTGCCGGAAGATTTCCTGAAGTCTTTCAAGGAGGACGTGCTGAAGGCGGTGACGGAGACCACGCAGCAGTCCTTCCTCGCCTCCGGACTGAAGATAATGGCCGAGGTCGTCGGCACGGTGGCGTATGCTCGGCGTGGGTCGTCGCCGTCGGCAAACGACGCCGGCCAAGCGCAACCTACGAAGGGCTTGAAGCTGGGTCACAAGAGGCGGGGAGGCGGCGGGGGGGGCAACGGGGACAATTTGGCGAACACGAAGCGGAGCAAGGGAGGCGGGGGGTCTGGCGGCGGGGGGGGGGGACGGAGACGATTCGGCGGGCGCGAGGCGGACCAAGGGAGCGGCTGGTTCTCGCGTCGCCGGCGATGGGAGCATGGGAGCCGGCGACGGCAGTTCGTTGAAGCAGTCGGGGAAGAGCGTGGTCGACATCCTCAGGAAGCACTGGGCTCAGGTTGGAGCGGCCAGCACGGGCCATGGTGGTGGGGGTCCCGCCGACGAGCATGCCACTGATGACGCACTGCCAATGGCTCCGCCTTCGGTCGGCGTTAAGCCACCACGACAGGGTAGCGGTGTGAAAGGCCTGCGCGACAAGGAGAAGGCCGCCGCCAAAACGGCCCCAGGCGGGTCCGCGAAAGCTGGCCAGGGCCCGAAGACAGGGGTTGCGGAGGCGTCAGCGGTTCCTCACTAGTCTCCCGCGGGTGCACGCCATTCGACCGGACCGTCTGCCGGGCGACCTACCGACGTCCCGCGCCATGCCGACGTACAGTCTGCCGACAAGGTTGGCCGCGCGGGAAAAGGGGCGGCAGTTGCGGACGCGCTCAAGGAGCAGCTCAGGCTCCTAGCCGGCCATAGGGCTGTTCAACAGGCCCCCCCTGCTGTCGATGTCCCATCGGCCAGTGGGCCACGTGTAGTGCCGGTCGTCGCCGCCCGTACTCCTGCAGACCCAAAGTCCGCGTTGTTGCGCGCCCAGCTGGGCGCACTAGCGTCGACTGAGAGGACTCAGCAGGCTTCTGGCTCTGGCTCTAAGCCGTCGTCGGCGAATGTCGCACCACCCACCCATGTGGCAGTTGATGTGGAGAAGGCGGCGGAGAAGGGCGTTCGTGCCGCGCTTGCCACCGGCGGCGGCGCCGTTGAGGAGGTCCCCGCAGACGCTGATATCGCTGCCATACAGGCCCATCTGGATGCAGCCAATCCCCGAACCCTGGCCATCTCCGACACGGAACATGTGGAGCCTTCGGCGGGACTCGTCGGCATCGCGGCAGAGCCTAGTGCGACCGGTGATGCGGTCGGTGAAGGAAAGTCGAAACGGAAGTGGAAGGCGGGCTCACAGAGGAAGACACGGGAGAAGTCGGAGGTGAAGGCGGCGGATAAACAGAAGGGGATGGCGACGGAGACGGCGGCGGACAAAGATCGAGGCGGCATTGGGGAGGTTGAAGGGAAAGGGGAGAATCAGGAGAAGTTGCCCGGCGAGGGTACGTCGACGGGGAGGAAGGGGAAGGACAAGTCGGTCGGAGAAGGTGCGTCGACCGGGAGAAAGGGGAAGGAGAAGGCGGTCGGCGAGGGTTCCTCGAAGGGGAGAAAGGGAAAGAGGAAGGCGGAGGAGGAGGATGAGGATGTCGAGGAGGTGGAGGAGGTCGAGCAGGAGGAAGAGGAGGAGGAGGAGGAGGAGGAGGAGGAGGAGGAGGAGGAGGAGGAGGAGGAGGAGGAGGAGGAGGAGGAGGAGGAGGGGAAGGGCAAGGAGAGGAGGGGTCATGGCATCCGACACGATACCTCGGGCGACAAGCAAGGGTGGGTCGGCGAGATTAAGGTGCACGGCATCAATCGATACATCGGCAAGTCGCGGGACAAGATGGAGCTCGCGTACGTTCACTCCATCGCGTACGTCGTCTACGACGGTTTCGTGAGCAAGGTGCTCATGACCGAGCTCACCGGCTTGGACAGCGCCGAATTGGAGAGGTGGAAGGAGGTGTGGGAGGAGGTCAGGATCTTGCCGACAGGGATGTGGACGGTGATGTGGGCCCGGGGTACGCTCCTTCCAAAGACACGGTAAGTCGGTAATCCTCCAATTCAAAGTCGATGTCGTTGTCGTTGTCACTAATGTTCGCCCTGTTTGTGGTGGCGTGACAGGCTGACAGAGATCCTCGACGCGTATCGCCATTACAAGTCCACAGGCGATTGTCTCCACGCCGCGCTCCTGCCAGTGATATGGTACCCAGTCGATGCTAGCACCGAGGAAGGCCGAGAGAAGTCGGCGTTCATGATGTCGGCGATGATAGGCCGCGTGTCAATGTGCGCTGCATATGGGAAGACCGCTGCGGCAGCGGCGAAGAAGGAGGGAGACAAGGAGGAGAAGACGGATATGGCGGCATGGGCGTTAGCAGCATCCGCATGCGCTGTGTGGTGCTTCGTCGAGAACGGCGATGCCCAGCTGGCGGATGCTGTGGAAGAAGGGAAGTCGGCGGCGATCATCGGCGGAGCGAGCCAGGCGACCGCCGATGTATTCGGAAAAGTCATGGAGGCGGTGCTGAAAGCCGAGATGAACAGGGACCGCCCCCTGGGAGAGGTTGCCTACAACGTCGCGCCAGCACTCCAGAGGACCGCCCTTGATAGGGTCTATCCGGGGGGGAATGCTGGAGTAGATACCGACGTTATCGCTAGAGCGACGGTTGAGACGATGGCGTTTTGGGGAATGTGCCCCGTCGCCGGGCCGAAACTAAGAGCGAGGGACATCGCGGTGCCGATTGACGCGCAGATGAAGGCCGATCTTGACAACAGGGGGAGGAAGGGTCTGAGGGGCAAGAAGGGGACGAAGACCAAGGGCGGCACGGAGAAGGGCAAGATGTCGAAGAAGGACAGCACGACGGCCTAGTCGACGGCCTGCTAAGATTGAGTGCTGCGTGGACTCGATGATGAAATGGTCGATATCGTTTTCCTTGTTTTGGCTATCGGATCCCTTTGATGCTCTTTCTTTGTGTTTTTTTTTTTGCGTGCCTGTCTACTTTACGTAGGATGAGTAATGAACACATTAGCTAGTAATGATTGTCTACTTCAGTTTGAACGACACGTGAATGCCCCGCTAGGCCAAGAACAACAGGATCATTGTGAGAAACAAAAAGTCGACATCAGTATCAGTATGAAACATAGGCATGCTGCATAAACATCTACAACATGCAACAGGCCACAGTAGCAGGAGGCCTGGGAACATTCAAGCGGTTTTCTTGCGCTTGGTCGACTTATTGGTCGGAGGCAGCTGCCCGGCGTCGTTTTCGCGGGCCAGATCGGCCAACGTCTTCTTCATCTGCTCAACCCAGGTGTCCGGGAACAGGTCGGCGACCCACGTTTCGGGCTTTAACCCGCGCGCCACGAACGCACAGGCGACACGAAGCTTGGAAAATTCCGTCTTGCCGAGCCCTTTGACGCCCTTACCCTGCCCAGCATAGGTCGCTACGGCGTCCGCGTTGAGCACCGTGAGGGCATCCGCGAAGGTCCCAATGCCAGGCGCCGCTATCTTGTTAAGCGCGTCGACGGCGGCTTCCGTGTCAGCTTCGCCGTCGCTCCTGCGAAGCTGGCGCACCGCATCGATGACCTTCATCATGCGGCGCACCCTCTTCCCGTGTGCTCCCTGCGAGGCTCCGTCGAGGAGGGTGTGGCGGTCGACGAATCCCGGCTCCCTGAACCTGTCGCACAGACGACGGGTGTCGGCGCTGGTGCACGAGGTCCAGAGGCGCCACGCGTCCTTGACGGTCGTTGCAGTCCGCCAAGGCTGCACTACGTTCAGCTCGTAGCTAGCCTCCTCGACCGTCTGTGGGGGTTTATTGGGTTTGTTGGCTCCTCCACCCCTGCTTGCCGACTCCGCGGAGCCACCGTCGCTCGGCGACTGGTCGTTAGCAGCTGGCGGCGCCTCCGGCATCCTTCGAGCTTCTGAAACGCGGAGAGCCTCGGTGAGGCGTGTTATCTCGGCCGTGAGCGACGCGATGGTTGCGTCGTGATTCTCGATCTTCTCCTCGAGGTCGAGCTTCTGGACCGTTGACCGCTCCCTCTCAAGCTTAAGCGTCTCCGTGAGGGAGACGACCGCGAACTGGGCGTCATGGCGGACCGATATCTCCTGCAATGGTAGGCGAATAACGGTGCAGATAAGGGGTTGTAGCGGTCATAGATAACATCGCGACGTCGGCATAAAAGATGACCTACCTCTGGCTGGATGAGGGTTGGATCTTGCCGCTTTTTTATGGTGTCGGTGTCGGTCTTCTCGACCCTCTTCGCCCAGTGCTGGAAGAGGGGAATCCGGCATAGCTTGGAATACTGGATGTACGGGTGCCAAGGGGTGCGGTCGAGTTTCACCGCGAGGTCCTCGGCGACAATGCGGCGGAACATCAGAAGGGTGCGCCAGAAATGCACGGCCGCAACGTCGGCGTTGGACCCCTTCTTCGCGAGTTCTTCTGCCTGCAGTTAGACATCAGACGTGGGTTATTTCCGTGGTGGATAGGACAGTACCATGCAAGCTTGGTCGGCACCGATAAACAAACCTTGTTGAGGAGGTCGTCGACGCCGGGGAAGATGTGCTCGGCGATGAGAGCGAGGAGTTCGTCTCCCGGTTCCACCCTACTGCGACCCAAGAAGTAGTCCTGCGTGAATCCCGAATAGCCGGCCTTCTTCATCACCACGCCGACGGGAATGGATGTGATGTAGGCTCGAGTCATCTTGTCGAGAGCCCAGTGACCCAGCTCGGCTATCTCGGCGCGAGGCGTACCTTGGATGGCCAACTCCTGCGCCCCGCCCGCCCGAGCGGCATGGACGTTCCGCTTGCAGAACACCCCATTCGTCTTCCACATCTGCCTCGTCCATCGCTGGTGGCTGGGAGCTGAGAGTTCGCCCTGCTCGGGGTCGTTGCGGGCGAAGAACAGGTGCTTCTTGTACCAGAGCTCGCGTGTGCTGGTGTCGACCGGCGGAATGAGGTCGACGCCGTGAAACTGGCCGATCTGGTCGAGGATGAAGTGTAACCACAGCCCGGTCTCGCCGACGGCGCACAACTCCGCTTCTAGGTGCCGCGCCGCGTAGCTCTGTTGAAGACGCGCATCCTTCGACGTCTTCGAGTTCCGCGCGGCGACCACCATGACGACCGGCTGGTTATCCGGGTTCACCGACGAGGTGCTCGCCAGTCGGTACAGGAAGATGTCGGGGAGCGTTATCTCGCGTATGCTTGCACCGCGCATGAGGCTGTGGTGGGAGAGCAGCGTGAGCACCTTGATGAGAAGAAACCTCCACAGCGTCTGCGTAGGTGTGGTGAAATGCGGGCTCCATGCCGACGCCGCCCAAGCCGGCAACACCCTCGTCATTATCTGGCGGAACTGTTCGGCGGTGTATGTGTCGCCGATGGTGCCGCGTCGACGGTCGGCGCATTTACTGTCGACATAACAATATATGGATATGAATATTAGGGCGAGGAACACAAATCGATGGCGACATAACACGGCGATGCATGCCAACTTACTCGAGGTCCCTCTGATTTTTCGTGCGGACCATGACCCGCACCTCCGACCGGACCACCGAGATTTCCCGCATGATGCCCAACTCCTTCTCCTTGTAGAGCGTCGCCTCCACCCTCGCCGCCATCTGGCAGGCCTTGATGCGGCCGAGGATCCTGTGCACCGTGTAGGCTCGCACTGGCTCGTTCGTGTCGGCGTCGATCTTGTACTCCCGCCTCATGAACTTGATGTAGGCGCGCAGTCGCGTACTAGTGACCCGGGGGCCGTGCAGCCATATGTGCTTCCGCTTGACCACCTTCTCGTTGTCCCAATCCTTGCTCTTGTTGTTGTGTGTCCAGTGCCCTATCTCGTCGACGTGCCTCATTTGTTCTGCTGTCGGCAGTTTGTCGCCAATTTTTTTAAGCATCTTCGCCGTCCACCTTTTGTAGTCGTATATCCATGAGGTGTAGGACTTGAGCGTGCTCTTGGCCTCTATGGTTTTCAGGTGGCGCATTGCCTCCATCACGAGCACGTCGACGCACGCGTACACCATATCTTCCTCTACGAAGTCGGCCGCCTTCCACATTTCTCGAGGGACCGACGTGTGCAGCAGATCCTCAAGCTCGTTCTCGTCCAACAGTTCCTCTATGAACGCACGTTCCCCCCTGAGTTTTTCTTCCAACGTGCGCGGACCTGCACCACGTCGGGGCCGCGGGTCGTCTTCGTCGTCCTCGTCGCTCGCTGATGAATAATCGTCCTCATCCTGGTTGCCCGATCCGTCCGGCACAGACGACGGCCCGGCCTCCCCTGCATCCGTCGGCGTCGACGTTTTGCGTGGTTTCATGAACTCCCTTATTGGCGCGGGCGGAACGTCCTTGGTGAACTCTCCCTGCGGGATTTGGGCCAGGGCGTCGAGATCGTAAAGCAGCGGCAAAGTCGACGAGGGGTTACTGGTCGGTATACGGTCTACCGGGCGGACGTCCTCACCCTGGCTAGCGGGGTTCGGAACGTCCGTCATGTCGACATCGGCGGGGGGTGGGTTGGTTTGCGGCGGTGTCGAACGAGGCTGTCCTCTGGCCATGATACGGCGACCTAGGGCGATGGGAAGTCGGCGTGGTGAGGTCGATAAACTACTAAATGCGTATTCTATGTCGGCGGTATCTGGCAGGTCGGGACAGCAGACAATCCTACGAGAGGTCGGCGACCACGTCTGCCTACTATCACGACGCCGACGTTACGCCTCTAGAGAAAATCCAAGTGCCGGCCGTCAAGTCAGTGGTAAAAAAAAAAAGCAATGGCACACACAATGGCAGGCGGAATGAGCGACCATTTCGGGGACCACGGATGGGTATGGTCGTGAGCGACTCCGCTGTCAGAACATATAGCTTACTTGTTTGTGTAGGCTATATTGGGGTATCCCATAGGGGGTACAACCCAATTAGGGTTTCCTATTTGTACTCACCTCGTTCGTAGTCAATTCATTCACGTTTCTAATTTCACATGGAATCAGAGCAGGTCCCATCCTAGGGACTGTTCTCTAGGGCCCACCGAAGCGCGCCCCGAGGCGCGCGTTCTTTTTTCTCGCGACCCTCCGTGTCGCCCTTCCCCTCGCGGCCCCGCCGCCTCCTCGACGCGGCCCCGCCGCCTCCTCGACGCGGCCCCGCCGCCTCCTCGACGCGGCCCCGCCGCCTCCTCGACGCGGCCCCGCCGCCTCCTCGACGCGGCCCCGCCGCCTCCTCGACGCGGCCCTGCCGCCTTCTCGACGCGGCCCCGCCGCCTCCTCGACGCGGCCCCGCCGCCTCCTCGACGCGGCCCCGCCGCTTCCCTACCTGCGGCCATCCCGCCGCCCTGCCTGCGGCCGTCCGCCGCCCTGCCTGCGGCCGTCGTGCCGCCCTACCTGCGGCCTACCCGCCGCCCTACCTGCGGCCGTCCGCCGCCCTACCTGCGGCCGTCCCGTCGCCCTACCTGCGACCTACCTGCCGCCCTACCTGCGGCCGTCCCGCCGCCCTACCTGCGGCCTACCCGCCGCCCTACCTGCGGCCGTCTGCCGCCCTACCTGCGGCCGTCCCGCCGCCCTACCTGCGGCCCACCCGCCGCCCTACTGTCAGAATGAAAAACGAGAATGAGGAGTGACTAGCAGGAACAACAGTACAAATATGTCAAACCCTAATCTGGTGTACCCCTTATGGTGTGACCCACTACAGCCTAGAACCACACAAACATACAATGTTTGACACACCCCCATAGGCAAAGTGGGGGAGACCTAGGGGTCACAAGACCAGTCAAGGCAAAACAAGGCAAACAAGCTCAGGGTGGATCTCGAGGATTCCACACAAATTCCGAGCACAAGGAAGCGGTCACAAGACCAGTTCACATGCAGTTTTATAATAGAGCAAGAGGTACA